CCTGCAAGGCCGAACCCCACTGGGTACCGCGTTGCTCACCGCCGCCATCTTGCCCAGCCCGGCACTCGCTTCCGGGCGGGGCCCCGCCCACTTCCTCAGGCTACTTCCGGCGAGCGCTGGGCGCCGCCATGATAGGCCTGGAACTAGAAAGCTGGGCAACAGAGGCAGCTAAACCCTGAAGTGGTTGGTCAGGGAGTCGCCATGGCAGTCTGTGGCCGGAAGAAGCGGCAGGGAGCCACCATGACAGAGAGGGCTACAAAGTCTAAGGGCGGCCTGCCTGTTCTGCCACGCCGGATTAGGACCGGAAAAGACAAGCGCCACCATGACAACACAGACCGGAAGAGGCGAACCCCCTTAGGTGATTTACTAGCACCTTTCTGTCACGAAGGGCGGAGCCTGGACCTGGAGATTGGCAAGGAAGGGCCAATTAGGGAAGGGGGCGTTCAGGGGCGGGCTTGTGTGGACGAGGGGGCATGTAGGGTGGGGCTTGCGAGGGCTGACTGGTCAGAGGTGCAGGCTCCAGTGAGGTCTCCTGGGCAGCCAGGCCATGGCTCCAGAAAATGATGGCTGAGAGGAGTCGGCCGGAGAATATGGAGTGCTGTAGGTGACTCTTCTTTATCTCACCGAGCCGCCGTGCTTCCCGGGACATCGCAGGAGGCCTTGAGAGTCAACACGTGTGCTCCCACTGGTCCGAACCACGGTTGCCTGCCCCAGCCTAAGCCAGCCTCTGCTCTGTCTTCTTCTTCTTTTTCTTTGGTGCCGGAGCTCGAACTTGGGTCCATGCTCTGCCTTCTTTTCTTTTTTGGTACCAGGGATCGAACTCAGGACCTTGCGCTTGCAAGGCAGGCAGTGGCACCACTGAGCTAAATCCCTGGCCCTGTCTTCTTTTCTTTTCTTTTCTTTTCTTTTTTTTGGTACCCGGGATTGAACTCGGGTCCTTGCGCTTGCAAGGCAGGCCACCGAACCGCTGAGCTAAATCCCTAGCCCGTATGTTTTTAAATTTAAATTTTTATCGGTACATGTTTGTAGTACATCATGATTACACATGTCTTGGGCAGAGACAGGTAAAGAGTCCCTGCAGTCCCCGCCTGCCTCTCCCTAAGATGATGTAGAGGTTGTGAAAGAACCAGATAGAGACGGAAGTCACAGAAGCGAAGTTGTACTTTTATTCAGCAAGCGTGCAAGAGTACAGCTGCCTTCTCTGAGATGGACAGGCAGGGGCGCCCGAAACAGAGCCACTACTGAAGTGGGGCTCAAGAAGCTATTTTTTATAATATTTGGGGCCTATCTTGTCTCTGGGCTGAGGGTGCCCCTACTTGCTTGGTTAATGATTACCTTAGCTCTTTTACATTTTAGGGCCAAGGTTATTTTTCCTTTTGATCTTAGCACACCGAGCTTTGCAGGGTACAGTGTGGAGAGGAGGTGCAGACTGCCGGCTGTCTGAACTCCTTCAGGCTGGGGGGTGGGGTGTGTGTGTGTGTCCGTCACTCATCTCTCCCTGCCTACAGGTCTCTATCCCTACACACACATCAAGGGGAGTTGGTACATGTACATAACACACCTTAATTCTTTTTACATCCCCTCCCTTCCCCCTCCTTCAAGCCCTTGATCCCCTTTCCATTTGCAAAAAAACTACTTCCCTGTTTCCTATTATCTATTTTATATTTTCCTTATGTGTAGAAGTACACAATAGTAAAGCTTGTGTGGGTTTTATGGTCTCAAGGATATATCCATTTTTCTACAGACATCTCACCTTTATCCTTTTTCATGACAGAGTAGCACTCCATTGTGTATAAACGGCACCTTTTTAAAAAAAATCCATTCACCTGTTGATGGACATAAAGGCTGCTTCCAAGATTTAGCTGTTGTGAATTGTGCTGATATAAATGTGTGTATATATATGATTAGCGTGTGATTATCTTGCTGGAAGCACTGTGCTGTGGATCACCTCCTCCCACAGATGAGGCAAGGCCCTGTGAGAGAACAGGTGACAAGAAGGTGGGGTGGAGCAAGGCCTGGCTGAGAAGAGGACTTTCTCCCTTCCCATTCGCCAGAAAACAAAGCATGATGTCCTGCAGATCCTAACTCCTCTCCTGGCTCCAGGTACAGACCAGCCCCTTTATCTTCCCCTGCACTTCCTTTACCTCTTCCACTATAAATGTGTGGCCATTTGCCTGGGCTCTTTTCCTCTGACCAGGAGTTGAGCCCCACCCGGCCCAGCTGTACCTTATTACATATCTCTTTGTCCTTTCTTAATCTCTCACCATTGTTTCTCACTCTGTGAACCCTTCAGCCACGTGGGCCTTGGCATAATCTCAACAGATGAAAAAGTCTTTGACAGAAGTCAATGTTTATTCCTGATAAAAAAAAATATCGAAATAGGTATAGAAAGACCTTATCTCAATCTGATAAAAGCCATTTATGACAAACCTACTGCCACATGATATTGAAAGGGGAAAAACTGAAAGTTTTCCTTCTAAAATCAGAAATACAACAGCGCTGTCCATTATCAGCACTCCTGTGCAATACAGTACTCGAGACGTTAGCCGAAGATTCAGGCAAGACACAAGGGATATTTGCAGGAAAGGAGGATCTCCATTTAACATTATTTGCAGAAGACACAATCCCTTACACAGAGCATCCAAAAATTCCACCAAAACTCTCCTAGAACTAATGATTAAAATCAACAATGTAGCAGGATACAAAATCAACACATAAAAATTACTAGTGTTCCTTCGCCAATAATGAACTCACTAAGAAGGATATTAGGAAAACAGTACCACTCATAATAGCATCAAGAAAGATTAACTACTTAGTGATTAACCTAATGAAGGAAGTGAAAGACTTCTACAACGGAAAGAGCAGTACTCCGAAAAAGAAGATTGAAGACAACATCAGAAAATGGAAAGACATCCCCTGTTCCTGGGAAAACAGAACCAATATTGTCAGAGAGACCATACTACCACAAGCAATATATAGATTTAATGCAATAGCAAAAGCATTCCTCATAGAAATAGAGAAAACAATCCTAGAGTTTATGAGGAACTGGAAGAGACCCAGAATAGCAGAAGCAATCCTAGGCAATGAGAGCAAAGCAGGAGGCAACGCAATCCACAATTTCAAATTACATTACAAAACTACAGCAATAAAGTCCTACACTTAGTCTGATCCCAGCACTGCACTCAGATACCTGTTGTGTCCCCTATGGAAAGGAGTCGTACCTCCGTGAAGCCAACAGGCCATTCTATCCTCTCTTCGTTGATGACCAAGCCTTCATCATGTGGACTCCCGGACACGAATTCTCCTACTTTAACCAGCAGCCCAAGACCAGCTGGGAAATTCACAGTGTGCTTGCTGTCGTATTGTGCCAGATGACGCCTTTCCTCATCCAAGGAAACGAGGCTTCCGGCGCTGTTTGTGAATTCAGTTTTCTTCAGGAATGGATGAAGCTAGAGGAAAGGCATCAGTTTGGAAAGGAGGAAAGCACACAAGTTAGAGGTGAGGAACCAATGTGCACTAACAGTGCTTTTCCCTCCACCCTTCACTCAAGTCTCCTCTTTGATAGATGGTCTGTCCTGTGTGGGTGTTCACCACCCCATGGGTCCAAGTGAGAACTCTTCTCCCCATGTGTGAGTGGGGGAGTAATGGAAACCAATCGCAGCAGTTCTGGGGTGCTGCCTCCTGTGCAGCGCTTCGCAGGATCTAACTTTGCAGGAGCTTGCTTGCAACTCTGAGCTCTGAGTTCATTTTGGACTTGCTACATGTCAGTCTTTCCCAGGGAGGAGGGCTCTGCATGAGTGAATTCATTTCAGATCTTGATCGTGATGGTTCCACGAATGTATAGAGATGTTCAATCTCGTAAATTGAGTCACTAAATAGGTGTATTTTGTGTTTGTGTTACACTCCAGGGAATTAAAAGAGTGCACAATATGTTTTTTTTTTTGGGGGGGGAGTGTATTTCCTTAGATTCTTTTGGTGAAAGTGATTGTTTCGTGATATCTCAAGGAACAATTTACGTCTTTTCCCCTCTTAAAATCTCTACAAATTCTAAATGTGATTTAAAACAGAGTTCCTAACCCTGGAATCCACGGGGGTCCATGACACTGTGTTGTGGAAAATAATAAAATTTTTCTTTTAACAGCTGTTAAGTTCTTCTTTAGTACCTTGAATAAAAGCACTCTACACACTCCTTCATTTTAGTAAGGATTTATGTTGGTAAATTCACCTAATTTCCTTAGTGTCACGTAAAAAATGTTCAGTGAGGAATATTAAACGTTATTGTTTTTGAGACTGGAAATTAGGTGATAATGTCAAGTGCATGACACAGCTGTATGTGTTTATGTTTGTCTTTTCATTTATTGATTGCATTTAATAATCTAATTAATGTATTTGTTACTTGTACGTGACAAGGGGATTCATAAAAATATTTTCCAGTCTTTGCCACTAGAGGGACCACAACAGTTTCCGTAGCCTTACAAGACACCGACCTTGATAAATCGATAGTTTGCATAGCCCTGTAAGAAACTTACACCAATAAATAGTACTTAAATATGTCATCGTTACATTTACACTCATTGGCATCAAAAGGTTAAGTTCTAAATAGATTTTTGTGATATGTTTACATTGGTCATGTTCAAAAGATTGAATTTTCTGTGAAAACACAAGAACAGGTTTTATGGCAAAGATGCTTTTGGTACCAAACTAATTTATTTATTTATTTATTTATTTATTTATTTATTTATTTAGAGACAGGGTCTCACTATGTAGCCCAAGCTGGTCTCAAACTCACGGTGATCCTCCTGCCTCAGACTCCCGAGTGTTGGGATTATAGGTGTGCGCCGCCACGCCAGGTGGGTACCAAACTAATTTAAAGGGCATAATGTTTCATGCATATAATTGTGATTCTCTTTCAATTTTGAAAGATAGACTTGCAGGATACACCCGTCTGTGTTGGACGTTGTTTACGATTAGGTTTGAAACACTTCGCTCTTAGCTCTCCTGGCTTTTAAGGTTTGTGTGGAGAATTCTGCT